TGAAATTTGTGTTTCATATTTCCAGATAGACCTGCGACAAAAAGTAATGATATAAGTTTCTTTTTCTGTTTGTCAGTGCATCATTTTTTATTATAAATTTGCTGTAATATCTTCTTTATGCTGGCAGCAAGAAAAGTTCGGGGTTAGGTATTCCGGTAGATCTGTTATTGGGGTGTAACAACAATAAATGTTTTAAGTAGACCGAATCTCAAGAATTTCTAACCTGAACAGGAATGAATTCGTATTGCGTTTTCGAAATGTTATAGAATTTCATCGGGCACGATTTACATTTTCGATTTGTTACACTTAATTTGCAGGATTGAGTCCATGAAAAGTAGTGAAGGTTCGTAGGGTCGACTTTCAGTTTTATCTAGAGCGGATCACCCTGTACAGGGAATCCTGCCCATGTTGGCAGACCAATAAAATCAAACCGCCAATATCTACTCCACTTATTCGCTAAGTGGATCATAACGAACTCGTGATCCATACGTTTCGAAATGTCCTTTGCGTTCAAGTTCAGGTTGAAAAACATAATAAAATCCAAGGATTATCTTCGTTCGAGCAGTACCGAGGCAGCTCGACGTGGGTGGGTTGCGCTTTTTCTGTATTTGGCCGAACGGCGCGATTTCAAGAATTTAAATTGTCCCTCTTTGACCAATTCTGGATCTATATGAGCGAAATTCGTTCTCGCCAACTAGGAAAAAAACTGAAAGTGGAAGCGGTGGCCGGTTTAGAGAAATATTTTGCTCGTCTCGGATGACTTCCTCTTTTGGAGATATGCTCGTTATTTGCTGATAGACATTAGAGTGGTCTATAGACATTGTACTGGAAGTGTACGAGGGGATATCAGCTCACTACAGAAGCGTTTTGATCCGAAAATATTGTATACTAAGGGCCGATTTCACCAACATTATTATGATGGACCAATATTTCTATTAAAATGTTGAATAAAACCGTAAAAATTCGACTGTATTATAAACAAGACCACTTTTTGATTCCAACATGATGCTTTTGCACTGAGAAAACAGGACAACTTTCATGTATTTTGATATATGTTATAGGTTTACATTTAACAATCCGTTATCCCCTCAGCGAATGGGAATGGGAGAAATAATAGGTCAATTTTCTAGCTGTTAAATTTGGCAGCAGGTTTGGTGGTTTGTTAATTCATGGCAATCTCGAAATTTGTTAAGTTCAATATACTGTGTGTATATTATGTGATCATTATAGCTACACATATCTGTTGAATTGTGCGGATTTGCAAGAAAATAGAATATAAAATGTATTCCAACCAATTCCTCATCTCTCTTTACATCATAATAGTAATCATTTGTTAAAAATTCATGGGTTAATGAATTTCTTCAAGGCAATCAAAACAGTATGGTCGTCCCATCCTAAAACACCGATATGTGTAAAACATGTTAATCCCTACATCTCCGAGGTGCATAATGAAATTACTGTAAACATAGACCTAAAATTATTAGTAATTATTGAAAAATAATGTCGGGCTCATGCACGAATTAACATAACCGAATTTAAGGATCAGCTGTTTTTACACCAGTGTTTTTTGACATGATTCGGGTGGTTTCGAAACTCGTCTTACCCTTGGATAGCCCTTTATATACTGTTCTATGCTAGTATTGACGTAATTATAATAATTCTGTGGTGTCTCGTGTTCCACGACGATTTCCGGTCAAAGCCAGGCGGTGAATCATCTGTTGTTTTTGTTTGAGTTGTTGACGAATTTGCGGTAGAGATTTGTTTTGGTGTTCGTCTTCGGGTGTGTTTTTCTGACTTGTTTTTTGTGCGATTAATTGAGGATGGCTATGCCTAGAGCAAACAAAACGAGAGCCGCGCTGGTATCAACTCCTGACCGTGGTGAAGAGGTACCTGCAGAAGGCACCTGAACGCAATCGGACATCGCCAGAGGAGCGCCTAATGATGACGTCGTGTACACGTTAAATCTGTACGAACCCCTAAATACGTCGTTATGTTGAATGTACCATCACCGATGGTGCGACTGATTATACACTGAAATTAAAACAAAAAACTGCAACTGCAATTGTATGTATGAATGTTGAAACTGTTGAACAGTTTCGGACCAGTGGTGTTAAAATATCGTTGAGGAACTGGAAAGAAGTGTATGAATGTGTTGAAATGCAACACCTAACAAAAATTTTAGTGAAAAGGCTTTTTCATGTAAGGATTTGTAAGTGCAAGTTTGCAAATGTAGGATAAACTATAAGCACACGGTAGGTGATATAATCACATATGGATTACAAAAGTTGCAGTAAACATGGAAAAACCTTCAGCTAATCTGAAAAAATAGATTTTACTCAGACATCAAGCATTTTTAAAAATTTTGGCTCAGTTTTACATAATTTCATAATATTTAATAAACTGAAAAGATTTCAATGGCAAGCTGCCACTTCATATTTTACAGTGTTTTGTTTTGAATACTTTGATGCTATTTGCTGGCAAAAATTTGACGGAGGGATCTTGAGGCTGATTGGGTATATTTAACGGACAGTTTGGTACTCGCACCCCATTGGTGCAGAATATTGGTTTGTTAAATTGTGAAATCCACCCTAAGTGACATATAAAATGCAACACCCAGAATTATTTACTGAATTCTGATAAAAACTATTTGCTGAACATATTTTCATAATATTCAGTGATTTTTCTGTGTTGGGTCCGGTTGTTTCATTGTTGTTTCATTGCATTATCATGCCTAGAGTTTGCAAACGCGCTAATTTCGTGAAGCCGGATTTTGTTTTAGAGAAATCGCTAATCGGGTGAATAGAAACGAAGCTACTGTAGTGAGATGTTGTAGAGCGTAGTTCCAAGAAGGCCAAAATTGACGAGTTAGAGGTATTGGACATCAAAGACAGACTGTACACCGACAGGATCGTTGGCAAGGATTGGTATGGAGTAGGGGGAAATACTTTGTTTGGGCATACATCATGGGCATCAACAGTAAGGAGAAGACGTGATGAAAGGTGGAACGTCGAATATTCCATCGAACGACATATGATTATGTGGGTGTGATGGTATGTGGTGCCATTGCTTAAGGCAACAGGTCACGATTAGTGCTCACTCGAGGTATCATGTCCAGGAAGTTTTGCAGCCGCATCTGCTTCCCTGTTTGGAAACATTGCAAGATCCTCTTTTTCAGCAGGGCAATGCACGACGTCATGTCGCACGTGTTAGTTTAGACTTTTTAGAAGCCCCTGCTTCAGCGGCCTCCTTCCTACATCGAACATGTATGGTACATGATGGGATGAAGATTACAAAATCGTCCGTAAGCTGATCTAAACAGAGAGAAGATACAACTTCCGTTACCCGAACAAACCAGGCCAGTAATGCAGTAGCCACAGTCTGAATCTGAATATGTGCATATTCAGCGTCTCGCCAGAAGCGCGGGCATCACGTCTCTTGCAAGCCTCATAAGTCTGACCAGCGTGTAACATACATCTAAAAATCGTTACAAAACTACCATTTGTATTCAACCCCTTTATGCAGACACACAGCGTATACAATGATTCACATCAGCGCAACTGTCGACGATATGTGATGTGCCTTCAGAGAACTGGTTCTTGTATAGTGATTTATTATTGAGGATGATTCCGTTACTAATATTCGGTATAATTATTGATATCATTCCGTAAAATTTATTTCGCTTTAATTTTCAGAAAAGCGTTGTTCGGGCTTTCTATTATTTGACTGCGTGCTAGCAATGCATCACATCATCTACAGGGTGTAAACGTTTTGGTAGTAATTATTGAAATGAGTAATAGGGGAGGTAAAAACAAGTCAAGTTCATATGACCTATGGTCCAAAAGTCAATAGATTTTTCTCTAAATGGCTTTATAGTTTACAACTTGACACAATCTCCATAATCTTACTAATTTTTATAGTCTAACCCATTGATTCCCAAAGTGGTCTATATCGACCCCTAGGGGTCTATGTCAACCTGCAAGGGGTCTACGTCAGCGAAAAAAAAATTGGGAGTCCATGAAATGAATATGGGGGTCCACGATAGTGGATCTCAACACATACACTGATTGTACCTATTTACTTACATCATACTATCTTATAATATCAAACCATATACATAATTTATAAAAGTACCTATGAAGAAAAAAATTTATTATATATGTTTGTAAAATTGTGTAAGTTGTAGGATGTTGGTATTCGCTTTGTGGTCGCAATACAGTTTGAACTTGTAAAAACCTGAGAGTCGCAGTCTCAGAGCTTCGCTACCTTGCACTGACTTGTTCAATTCGTCACTCTATAAATACGAATGTGGGACAAATACGTTTATTCGTTTCCTGAATCTTGAAAAGGAAAGTGCTAAGAAAATATTTAAAAAAATATAAACAGATAGTATATCACACAAATTATAATGAGTCAGTGTTATTTTGTTTGAGAGTGCTGGAGAAAAGTAAGTACATTATTTTTCATTAAATTTTAGTTTTGTAGTTAGCAAAGACAGATAAATTACGCCAATCATGACTTCAGTTATTAGTAGTTAAACATTCAATCATGCCAAATTACGCGAGTACTCCTCAATAGTTTCTTTCTGAAAGTTTTAGCAATCGGTAATATAATTACAGTGCAATCTCCGTAATTCGAGCTAATTGTTGCAAGAAGATGTTCGAATTATGGAATGTTTTCGGAAAAATCAAAAAATATTTTTAATATACAGCTGCTGGATTTTCTGTCTAATTTAAATGATTTAATTTTGCCCACAGATGACTGATGCCATGTCCGAATCTAAAAAGAAATGTAGACAGTACAGTGTTGATTATTTGAAATTTGGCTTTATTCCATCATTGCCGGACAAACAATCGCCTATGTGCCTTTTATGCAACAAAGTTTTGGGCAATGACGCTATGAAACCATCTAAAATGCAAGATCATCTGAGAAGATGCCACCCTGATAAAACAGAGAAAGATTTGAAATACTTTCAAACACTCAAAGATAAATTTCAGAAGAGACTTAACTGGACAGAATGTTCGCATCGACGTCACAAAGAAATGATGATGGTTTGCGGGCGTCTTACAATATCTCGTTACTTATAGCAAAATCCGGAAAACCGCATACTATCGGAAAGAAGTTAATTTTGCCAGCCGTTGAAGAGGTTTTAAGAACTGTTTTACACAAACCTGCATCTGATATCATTAAAAGAATTCCCTTAAGCAACAATACTGTTGAAAGACATTGATGAAATGAGTTCTGATATTGAAAGCTTCTTATGTAATTATTTGCAAACGACACATTCCTCTATACAACTGGACGAGTCAACTTTACCTGATAATGCAGCATTATTATTGGCATATGTTCATTTTATTATGAATCAAGAAATCTACGAAGAACTGCTCTTCGCAAGAACATTGATAACCGACACTAAAGGTGAATCAATATTTCATGTTTTGAAGGATTACTTCATTGAAAAAGCAATTCCTTTATCAAATATAATATCAGTAGCTACAGATGGAGCACCTGCCATGGTTGGACGTTATCGTGGATTTATAAGCTATTTAAAACAAAATGTGTCAGGGGTGTTAGCAATACATTGCGTCATCCATCGCCAACATTTAGTTGCTAAGAATTTGAGTGTTAGATTGCATGAAACACTTCATTTAGTCATTGATGCAGTAAACCGAATCCGAAGCAACGCGTTGAATACGCGGTTATTTGAGCAGTTGTGTGAAGAAAATGACGAACACTTTCATCAATTACTCCTTCACACTGAAGTACGCTGGCTGTCGAAAGGCTTATGTTTGACAAGATTTTTTGCACTTTTTGAGACTATTTCAGAATTTCTGGATACTAAAGATAAAACTTTAAAAGAAAATTTAGTGAAGAGGAAAACATACATCGCCTATTTAACAGATCGCCTATGGTTAATTTGCAATTACAAGGCGACAGTTTAAATTTGATTAAAACAAAGTCCATCTTATCAGATAATGAAGGGAAATATTGGACGGGGCGAATTTTCTCAGTTCCAAAATTGGTCACAGACAAGCTGCCAGGACGTTTCAACTTACGTTCAACATTTAAATGCCCTCTATTCAGATTTTGAATCTAGGTTTGAGGATATTTTGACTATGGTAATACCACCGTGGATAATTAATCGATATGGTGACATAGAAGAAACGAATGTCATAATACAAGAGGAACTGACTGAACTAAGTACAAACGAAGAACTTAAGGTTCAGTTTAAAAACGGATATCAGCAATTCTGGCTGCAAAACAACATACCCGTTACTTATCCCGTATTATGGAATATAGCGAGGAAATTTTTAATTTCCTTTCCATCGTCATACCTACTGGAAAGGGGGTTCAGCGCTGCTACCCATCTCCTAACAAAAAAAAAAGAAACAGACTGGACATCATTAGCCGAGGAGATTTAAGATTAACCCTTACAAAATTGACGCCAAATGTTGATTATTTATTATTAAAGCATCAGGTTCATCCTTCTCACTAGAAATATTGACTTATTGCTTATGTTATTTTATTTATAGTTTATTTTATGTTTATTGGTGTCTGACCAAGGAATGCCCTCATTGGGAATAAGTGCCCGCATTGATTTTTTTTAAAGAACCCCCCTTTATAGAAAATATTTTTTTTTAAATTATTCTGAAAATTCAAGGATAGGTACACACTAAAATTCGTTAATTTTTTGCCTATTTTTAGATAACTTAAACGTATAAGAAGCGGAATTTAATCAAACTAACAGTGAAATTATTGTAGAACATACGTTTATTTTATAATTAATATAACGAACTCGCTTATTGTACTATTTTAAGTAAAAAACTTTTTTTTAATTATTTTTCACTTTTTTTTTATTTTATCACTCTTATTTAGACACCTGTTTATTTAATGTTACGTTTGTTTTACATACAGATACAAAATTTTATTTTTTAAGGGGTCTACGAAAAGTTTGGGGAACTCTGATCTAACCTAAAACGTTTTTAAATTGGGTATAATGACTATCATAACGTTTACGCCATGTAGAAGGGTTCTCTTTCTGATGTCACGTCGGTATCTCCAGGAGTTATCTCTAATACTTATCTGAGACTTGGCGCTTTACCATAGATTGAAATTTCATAATTCATCAAATACTGCCATAGTCAAACTAATAGGAACCCTTCCAACAAAACATAATTATAAAAATCAATTCATGAATTGATTTCTACATAGACAGGCTCAGACAATTACTGATATATCGCTATGAAATTGTGAAGAATATCTTCCACAGAAAACGTCATTCTCCGCCTTCTGAACTTCAAAATCGAATATAATTTTGTAAATTTACCTAACAGGTCTAGTTCTTTCTGAAACTGAAGGAACTATTGGGGAAACACTTGTTTGTTTCCTTCTGTATATCGCACGGATGAGTTGCTAATAAGCACGAAACAGCGCTGCCTCCGGTTGGTCATTGTTACACAAGACGAGATGCGAACACGTCTATTTATGAATATACAGGGTCTTCCAAAAGTATGAACACACCCAAATATCTCGAAAGCCGGAAAAAACTTTGAATACAAAAGTTTCAGAAAATCAAATTACGCGACTAGTGGTGACCTTGGATTTGACGTTGGCAAGCACATTTTTGTTGCAGAAATAGAAAGCAAACAGAGAGTTCCTTTTTAACGGTATATCATAACCAATTAGATTTAGAGGTTATTTGAAAATTCCAGCAGCGGATAGCTGGAAAAAGAAGAAGAATAAAGATGCGAAAATTGCAGGATACTCCACGGCACCTTCATGCTGACGTTGGCTATCACCTTGCAGGTCAGTTCAAGGTCGAATTGATGTTTCCACATGGAAGTCCTCAATTTTGATCACAGCGCTGTAAATGGAGAGAAATCTCATGTTCAAAGGTGAAATTACACCTAAAGGTTACTTCACTTAAAGGTCGAATAACGTATTTTCATGAATTAGACTAAAACGAGTGGCAATATTGCAAGTGAAAAAAGAGATCTACAACGTCAGCTTCTCGTAGCGTGACCCAAGAAAACAAAAATGCAGAGTAATTTTTCTTGGGACTTGCGATGCTGTTTATTATAGTGTATGCTGTGGCGCTATCTGGGAAATCATCTCTCTTCCTTGTTAGCAGATCGTTCAGTTGTCGAGCAAAAATCGGTTAGGATCACGAGTTCCAGATCGGCGGTGCCAGATACCTGAAGGTGCGCGTCGAGGGACATATAAAAATGGAAATGACATAGCTTCGTGGTGATGTTTGTACAATTTGTAAAACAAATCCGGTACGGTACCTATAGAAAATGGTGCTTCGATCTGAAAAATAATAACGCACCCGGAAAAGATGGCTTACACACTAAAACTATCAAGGTCATCATGAAGTTTATCAGTCACCCTATAACTCACATTATCAACCTCTGTTTCAAATCCTCAGTAATTCCTCGCCAATTTAAAGAAAGCATAGTGATACCCATATTTAAATCTGGAAGTAAAGACAATATGTTCAATTAAGGACCTATTTCAGTTATCAATGTATTTGGGAAGATTTTTAAGATATGTTTGGATAGCAGACTTTGTCCTTTTCTTGAGAAATATGACATAATATCGAACTGTCAATTTGGGTTCCGCAAAAATTGCAATACAGAGCAATCTCTACAAGAACTTACAGGAGAAGTGCTTGAAAAGTTTCAAGATGGAAATAAGACTGTTGCAGTTTTCCTAGAACTTCAAAAGGCTTTCGATTCAGTATCTCATACAATTTTATTAAAGAAACCAGAAAGTGTTGGAGTGCGTAGTGGAGCTTATTTGAGAACTATTTGACTGCTCGATTACAACAAGTTAAGGTAGGGTCAGATTTAAGCAGCATTCCAAAGATCAAAATAGCTGTGCCTCAAGGGAGGGTTTTGGGACCAACACTGTTCCTCATATACATAAATGAACTACTTCGATGCCATTTCAACTTTAAAATGATATCATATGCAGATGATACTGTTTTACTTGACAATAATTTAAAATGGCAGAGTCATGCCGAGCTTTTGGCATCGTGATTAAGGAGAATTATTCATAAGTTTTTCATTCTTAGGAATATTTTAAGCAGAAAGAGTCTTCTCTCAATATATAACTCGTTTGTAGGGTCTCTACTAACTTACGGGACAAGTATATGGGGAGCCGCATACACTAGTACTTTAAAAGTATTAAAAACCTCGCAAAATTATATTGTCAGGACTATTTTTCGTATCCCATATAGGGAAGTTGCAGACTCGTTTACATTGAAAATGATCTTTTGAATGTTAGAGGTTTATATATTTTTGCTGCTCTGAAATTTGTTCAACTCCAGGAACAATGTTCCAACCAGCCACGCTTATGAAATAAGAACTACAATAAATATAAGTTACACTTATACCAGAGTGAATAAATCTGTTTGCCAAAAATGCATAAAGTTGGATGGTATTAGGTTGTATAATAAACTACCCTTAGAATATAAAATCCTCTCGAAGTATGGTTAAAAAAAAATAATTAAGAAGTTCATCTTAAATAACTTTGACATGCTTGCATCGATTGTAGCTTGACTCAACTCAGTCATTTCGTTTCTATCTAACGTTTTTTTTTTATATACATTTGCTCATAATATACTTTATGACCATTCGCCATGCCTTGAATTTGTATATTGTGTGACACACAAAAGCTTATAGCTTAGGTGTCTATTCTTTTGTAGTAACAAATAAATAAATAATAAAATAGTAATCTGAAGTCTCCAGTTACTTAAATTTATATAAGAATCTATCTAAAAGGCACAGAACAATATGTGCTAGCAAAGATCAGAGTCCGTTTGATTGTGTTTTAACAATTTTTCGCCATATGGAATTCGTTCTTGTTCTTGAAACAAAAAAGGCCTATAATAAGGTACTTTATTCGAAAAATATTCTAAGCGACATATTAAATACAACACCCAGACTTCTTTATTGAATTTTGATAAAAAGTATACCCATGTGGTAAATAAAGGCTTTTTTGTCATGTCAGGATCCGAACAATATGAACATGTTTACTTTTTATTCAGTGATCTTTTTGCGTTGGTTCCATTTGTTTCATTGTTGTTTCATTGCATTATCATGCCTAGAGATCCCAGACTTGTAAAAGTATGTTCAAACAGCACTCATAGTCGGTGTTGCATTTTCTATGTCATTTAGTACATAATAATGTTCTTGTGAGTATGTATGTTTTAAATGTCATTCCCGTATATTCCAAGTAATTTTAATTTGAAAAATGGGTTCACCCCATTGCCTGTCGTCGCTTGGATTTGTTATGTTTTTAATACAAATTGTTAAAGTCATATTTATTTCGAATCCACATTTATCAACGTTTCGGTTGTCATTGAAACGTATTGTTTATTATTTTATAGCCAGTTAAAACTCTACTGCTACTTTTGTCGAAAATAATGAAGAAGCATTTATTCATGTTTAAATACGAGTGATAAAGCTGTGACTCCCGCCACACCGCATCAAAGTCCGGTTGAATGCCCATCATGTCGGTTCTTTCCGCTATTGTCCTGTATGCACCTATTTCATCAGCAACCATAGTTTCTTTATAACGAAATAGAACATCATTCAAGTCAGTCACAAATAAAATGAAGAGGAAAAGAGTCCGTAAGGTAACCTTGAAGTTGAAATGCCCACTGAAGCTGTCAGATCCCCTAAAACTATGACAGACCACCTTGAACGTCTGCCAACGGCGCTTGAAAACGATTTTCAGCACTTCTCGTCCTTTGGGCTGATCATCGCGTCGCATGCCAGTCCGATATCGTGCTGAGCCCGCCATAATCCGCTTCTGATCTGATTATCGAATCGTGGCAAGCACAAGCGACGAGATCATGAACACAATGGGACCAAA